TTTAATTAGCAAAAAGTCTATTAAAATATAGTTTTAAATATTGTAAAATCTTCTTATATTTCTTAAACTTGTGTCACATCAAATTATATCACATAAATTGAAATGAATAATTTTTTTAATCCTTATAATTAAAAAATAGCACAAGAAAAACTTCAAAATAATGATTATTTTATCGAAGATGGGATCGAAAAGTGACCAATCAATGCTATTAAAATAATATAATCCTAATCATTGAACTTCTATAAAATGCAAATAAAAGTATGGCGTGCAAGTCTTGGATAAACTTTGCCTGCTACTATAATATTATAACTTCAAACTCTCCATAACAAAGTATTGACACAAATATCTCTTGCTTTCAAGTTGACCTGCAGTTAGCAATGGAAAGTTCAGTAAGAGATGTTGATGAAGCAGCAATAATGAAGTCATCTACGCATCGAAAGAATGGCGGATGGATAACCTTCCCCTTCATTATAGGTACGTTTTTTCATCCTTTGGTTCAGAGTCAAATTCAAGATTTTGTAATGTGTTTGGTATGAAGGAAAATGTTTTCCGGAAAATAAGTGATTTTTGATGTTTGGTGTGTAAGAAAAAAAATATTGTTTTAGTAGGGTGGTCAAGGTGTGGGCAAGTCCAGAGGCGGAGCTGATATTAGGAGTTTGGGGTTTTAAATTTCCTTCCCCTTCCTTATCATTGAGTTGTCAATCAGATTTGTTAGGAATTCAAAAGTTATTACTTAATTTTCTAGTACAAATATAGGGTTTACGGAAAAGCTATTGGGTTCGTTCGAACCTATGAACCCCCGCCTAGCTTCGCCCCTGTGGGCAACACCAAACATCCTGCCTATGACAAAATCCACGAAGGGGGCTGGGTGGTCCGAGTTGGAGTCATGATCAAACTTGCTACTTGTTTGATGGGGTTAGTCAAGAAATGAAGTTGTGTCTTTGCTATCAGCTATATGTTTTGGCATGATGGTAAGCGTTTTGGGGGGGGAGGGGGCAATGGAGGGTTCGAGGAGACAATGAACTCAGAATGTCACTTATGAAACTTGTTTTCCCTATTCTCACTACGGCATTCATTAACGTTCTTGAATGTTTTGATTGGTAATGTCAGCAACCATGGCGGGCTTATCGCTTGCGTCTGGAGGGTGGACGAGCAACCTGATTGTTTATTTGATAGATGAATTCAACATGAAGAGCATCAAAGCAGCTAAAGTTTACAATGTGATCAATGGATGCACCACACTTTTCCCCATTGTTGGTGGAATCCTAGCTGACTCTTATCTTGGCAGTTTTTCTATCATTTGGTTTTCATCTCTTATCTCTGCTTTGGTATAGTAACAATCCCCCTTCATTAGTTTCATCCTAAGTTGCTCGGACTCGAGTGCTGGTGTCTGATAACATGTGTGAATTTAGAGGCCGGATCCTTCATGATCTGAATTTTAAGATTTGGTTAAAAATAATTCAAAGTACTAAAAGTAGAGTTGAATGTCTAAATTATGTAGAAAAATTACTAGGTATTGCGAGGAGAAATTATTGACCAAGAGGAGAATTCAAGAAGGAGACAAAAGGAAAAGGACTGACGTAGAATTTTCTATATATAAGCTATTCATTTTCTTCAATTTCACCTTAGTTTTTTTGTTTTGATTATAGAAATTATATGTGTTTGTTCCTGAATTTCTCCATCGATTTTGGTCAAAGTATCCAATTCTGATACGGGTACCACACCCTTGTCATGTCGACACGAGTGCAACACTAAAAGTGAAGAGTCTGAGCAACTTAGTAGGAAAATAACCAAGAACCCCATATTTATTTCTTCAATTGGACTTGCAGGGTATATTGCTTCTATTGTTTACATCAGCAATTGATGTACTAAGACCTCCACCATGTGATGATGGATCCAGTCTCTGCACGAGCCCGTCAACACACCAATACGCGGTATTATATGTGGCTCTGGCATTAGCATCACTAGGTGTCGCGGGTACACGTTTTACAATAGCACCCATGGGAGCTAATCAATTTGATAAACCAAAACATCAAGCAATTTTCTTCAATTGGTACATATTCGCCTTTTACACGTCCTTTGCCATTAGCACCACAGCTATTGTTTATGTAGAGGACAATGTCAGTTGGTCATGGGGTTATGGTATCTCTATGACATTTAACATCCTTGGCTTGGCAATGTTCCTCATTGGGAAACGTTTTTATCGCGATGTTAAGGAACAAGGTGGTAGCCCTTTCGTCTACTTAGCTCGTGTTATAGTCGTTGCCATTCAGAAATGGAGAGTCCCTCTTTCAGAACAAACTCAACACTACTATCATGATCCAAGTGACACTACTACCACACTAACAAAAACTCAAATTCCTACGAAATCCTTCAAGTAAACGTCTTTTTTCCCCTGTTTGCTCTGCTTTTATATATACATACTCTGTCAAAATTGGTTACCTGATCAAGTCTTCGTGTACAGGTTCTTGAATTGTGCTGCGTTTATTACTGAGGGAGACACTAAACCAGACGGCTCGATTAGTAACCCCTGGAGACTATGCACAGTGCAGCAAGTAGAAGATTTGAAAAGCCTGATCAAGCTTTTCCCTCTATGGGCTAGTGGTTTTCTTATATCGACTCAATTAGTCATACAAACGAGTCTGTTAATACTTCAGGCTCTCAAAATGGATCGCCATATGGGACCTCATTTCGAGATCCCAGCTGGTTCTATGTCCGTCTTCATTTTGCTATTCACGTGTATAGCCATATTCATCATTGACAGGTTTTTGTATCCTTTTCTAGCTAAGTACACTACCTTTACTCTTACCCCTCTTCAACGTATCGGAATAGGCCATGTTATAACTATTTTTAGCATGGCTGTTTCCGCCCTGGTTGAGTCTAGACGATTGAGGATCGTTAGGACTCACAAACTCCAAGGCCAAAACAATGACATTGTTCCAATGTCCGTGTTTTGGCTGGTGCCACAACTAGCTCTAAATGGAATTGGAGAAGGATTTCATTTTCCAGGACATATCGCGTTTTATTACCAAGAATTTCCAACATCCTTGAAGAGTACATCGACTGCAATGGTTGCTTTGTTTATTGGTATCGCGTACTATTTGGGGAATACTTTGATTGATCTTGTTCAACGACTATCAGGATGGTTACCAGACAATATCAACAAGGGGAGAATTGATAATGTCTTCTGGCTTTGTTGCATCCTGGGATCAGCTAACTTCATGTATTACGTCGTGTGTGCTTCGTTGTACATGTATAAAAATGTCGATAACAAACCAAATATCGCGCCTAGTAAATGATACTCATTGTTTATATCTCAAAGAAGCATGTATATTCATCATGGTATAAGTATTGAGGTTTCTTTAGTTACAAGTGTTGATAAGCACTTTGAAGAAAGAATAGTCATGTTTCTTTCTTTCTGTATTTAGTAAGTTTTTCATCTGACATGCTATGTGAGAATGTGACAAGTTTAAGACTATACGATTTAAAAGATTATACACATCTTTAATTTAAGACTACAAGATTCGAAAGTCTTATTTGATACTTAGTTAACAAATTGATTAGGGCATAATTGATTGTTATATATTTTAATGCATGATTAATCTTAGCATAAAATAATACAAATATTTGGTTGGACACATAAGAAATAGATAATCACGATATAATAATGCAACATTTGATACTTTATATGGAATAGAATATGAAATTAAATAACAAAAAGTTAAGAGTTTAGATAATTGTAGAGGGGCAGATGCCGTACACTTGAGTGGCAAAGGAAAGCGAGACCTTACCTTTTTTTCCAGGGCCTGTTCGGACATATGGCTCTCGCGGAAGATCAAGTTGGTGAGCGTGTGATGGGAAACCTTCTCGCACAGTTCGAAGAGCACTGAATTAGAATGAGAGGTTTACCATCACATTATTGCCTGCAACGGGAGTTCGCTCGATTCGTAGATTGATCCGACTCGTAATTCACTTCTGACCCCGTGTTGGGTTGCCCGACTATTTAGTTTACGTCCAAAAGTGCAGAAAGTCATGATTTTACCTCACCTTGTGAAAAAGTTGTCTTTGAAAAATATTTTCTAACAACGAAACATAGAAAATGACTTATTAATTTTCTAATAAATATTCTTCAATCATTAACTAGGAAGAAATTAGTAAACTGAGATGACTTTCTGTTTATTTTTGTATAGTTTAATGCTAAGTCCTCCAAATATTATTGAGTGCAGACACACGTTTATATTCTATAGTTTTTTTCGTATTCAACTCCTTTTATTTATTCAGACTTTAGGTACGCCTAACGTTTTATTTATGTAGACTTCATTTAATTAAATTCAACTTGTTCTTTAACTACTTACAAATTGAATATAAGACAATGACACTTTTCAGAGAAAAATAGAAATCTTTTATTAAAATGTTATAAAACTAAAAATATTTAAGTGACGTACAAAATCAATTTCTTCGTCTCAAATTAGTTGTTATGTTATGTTTCTCCTTTTGAAAGTCAATTTGATTCATTTTCGAAGCTAAATTGGATAAGATCGATTTAGTATTTTATATTGTATATTATACAATAAGTACTGCTACAAGTTACCACTTTTCTCGTGATAAGAAAATCTATTTTAAAATATTAATAAAAGTTCATAATTTGACTCTCGAAGGTCTTTCGGAAATCATCTCTCTACCTCCACGAAGTAGTGGTATAAGATTTCACTTGATTTGTTGTTGTTGTTATGGTTTGACTCTCGAGAACGGAAACATGATGATTATTATCGAACAGAGAGAGTATGTTCAATCATATTCATAGCTTATGAATTTCTGTGCAATTAGTTAGATCCAGAAACAATATGACAAGGGCCACGTTCTCCAAATAATATATACTATAAAAAATAAAAAAATTCCTTCAATATATTTAAATAAAAAAATAAAATAAGAAACCATAGCAAGTAAAAACTATATAATATATGTTTCTTCTTTCAACTTGACTTGCAACTTAATTAGCAATGGAAAATTCAGTAATTCATGTTGATGAAGTAGCAATGCAGTCCTCTTCTACTAGGAAAAATGGTGGTTGGATAACATTCCCATTTATTATAGGTACGTTTACGTTAAGAGTCGAATTCAGGGTTTAAAGTCTGTCATTCAAAAATAAATCGTATGTATACATGATTCGAGTAGAAAACAATGAGTTCAGTTTAACTATACACAATGTTATAACATGTTACTGTGGACTTAGTTATTATTGTATATTTAACTTAATGTCGATGTAGCAACTCATAAACTTCAAATCTTGGATTTTTTATTGCTAAATTCAGCAACCATGGCGGGGTTATCGCTTGCGGCCGGAGGGTGGACTAGCAATCTGATTGTTTTTCTGATAAATGAGTTCAATATGAAGAGCATTGCTGCTGCTAAAGTTTTCAATGTTGTCAATGGATTGACAACAATTTTTCCCATTGTTGGTGGGATCATTGCTGATTCTTATCTTGGCTGTTTTTCTGTTATTTGGATTTCTTCACTTATTTCTGCTCTGGTATAGAAAACCAACTCTCTTGTTAGTAACTATACATGGTCAAGAACACATCTGAAGTATCACGTTTTTACGAGTTTCATATCTGAACTATCATGTGTTTGGTTTCTTACCTGAACTATCACCAACTATTTATCAAAACACACCTCGAAATTAATGAGTCAGTTGTCATGTGGACGGTCTTTTATAGGGAAATTAAGTTGTCATGTACCTTTTGGCGATTGTTTTCGAGGTCTGTTTTGATAAATAGTTGGTGATAGTTCAGGTAGAAAAAGCAAACATCTGATAGTTTAGGTATGAAACTAGCAAAAAGAGTGATACTTAAGATGTGTTTTGTTAACTTTCGTGTTACAAAGACTTAAGTTTAGTAAGGATCCAAGAACCATATTTTTGATTTCTTGTTTTGCATTTGCAGGGTATATTGCTTCTACTATTGACAGTAGTAATTGATGCATTAAGACCTCTAGCATGTGGTGATGGATCCAGTCTCTGCACAAGTCCTTCAACAAACCAATATGTATTTTTGTATGTGTCTCTGGCACTAGCATCTATAGGGGTCGGGGGCACGCGTTTTACAGTTGCACCCATGGGAGCTTACCAATTTGATAAGCCAAAACATCAAACAATGTTCTTTGATTGGTACATATTCATCTTTTACTTGTGCTTGGCTTTAAGCACCGCGTTCATCGTCTATGTGGAAGACAATATCAGTTGGGCATGGGGTTTTGGTATATCTATGGCTTGTAACATCCTTGGCTTGGCAATTTTCCTTTCTGGTAAACGTTTCTATCGCCATGTTAAGGAACAAGGAGGCAGCCCTTTCGTTAACTTAGCACGTGTGGTAGTTGCTGCTACTCAGAAATGGAGGGCCCCTCTTTCAGATCAAACTCAACACTACTATCATGATCCAAGTGACAAAAGTACAACTTCTCCAAATCCTACGAAATCCTTCAAGTAAACGTCTAAACGTCTCTTTTCCCCTGTTTGCTCTGTTTATATATGCTTTCTGTCACAATTGATTAGCTGATATACAAATCCGGTTGTACAGGTTCTTGAATTGTGCAGCTTTTATTACAGAGGGAGACACTAAACCAGACGGATCGATTAGTAATCCTTGGAGATTATGCACAGTGCATCAAGTAGAAGATTTGAAAAGTTTGATCAAACTTTTCCCTCTATGGGCTAGTGGTTTACTAATATCGACACAACTGGTAATGCAGTTGAGCTTGTTAACACTTCAGGCTCTCAAAATGGATCGCCATATTGGACCTCATTTCGAGATCCCAGCTGGTTCTATGTTAGTCTTCATATTGTTATTCACTTGTATAGCCATATCCATCATTGACAGAATACTAAACCCCTTCCTAGCTAAGTACACAACCTTTTCTCTCACCCCTCTTCAACGCGTTGGCATAGGCCATGCACTAACTATATCGTGCATGGCTGTGTCCGCGTTGGTTGAGTCTAGACGACTGAGGGTAGCTAGATCACACCATCTCCAAGGACAAATAGATGCTATCGTCCCAATGTCTGTCTTCTGGCTACTACCACAACTAGCTCTAAATGGAATTGGAGAAGGATTCCATTTTCCAGGACATATCACGTTTTATTATCAAGAATTTCCAACATCCTTGAAGAATACCTCGACTGCAATGGTATCGTTGTTTATTGGTATCGCGTTCTATATAGGGAATGTGTTGATTGATGTTGTTCAAAGAGAAACAGGATGGTTGCCTGATAATATCAATGATGGAAGAATGGACAATGTATTCTGGCTTTGTTGTACCCTGGGATCAGTAAACTTCATTTATTTCCTTCTTGTTGCTTCCTTCTACAAGTACAAAAATATGGAAAGCAAACCAAATGATGTGCCAAGTAAATGATGTACTACTTGTTAGTGTATAATTTTTTAAGAAATAAGAAGCATGTATATCCATCATAGTACTAATTCAATGAAATATCTATCACTTTCCACGATCAATAAATATCAGTTAATTCCATTCACTAAAACTGAAAAGATGGAAAAAGATCACCTAGTGTTCAATATGCCTATATATTCCATTGAATTATTGTGGCACAAGACATTTAAGAGTTCAACTTTGACTTTTTGTATTTTGGGTTTTGAATTTATATTTGAACTATCAGGAGTTTCCTTTAGGTAGGAAAGTTGAGATGTATTTCGATAAATATTTGTGATAGTTTAGATAAAAAAACTTTAATATGTTTTTGCTCTAATAGTTGATATTTACAAAGTCTCTTGCACAATTTATATTAAGATATGGAAAAAACTAATAGTGTTGTTACCTAGGGGTAAACAAAATCGAACCAAAAATCATACCAAATTAAAAAAACCCGACACAAATGGCACCAATCCGGTCCATGTACACCCCTAGTGTTACCATTTTAAAATGTAGAGAAAATAATATTTGATTGAAGGGTGTGTTTTGTTAAAGGGAAATTATTTTTCATTGAAAAAATCATGGTTAAACACCAACATGGGTTGTTGTGCACTAGTGAGAGTGTTTCACCCTTAACCAGAGGTCTCGGGTTCGAGCCCTGGGTATGGAGAAAATCTTGTTGGGGGCACCACCCCCAAATAGGCCCTGCAGTGCGCGATCTGGATTTAGTCGGAGCTCCAATGTGGGTTCCGGACACGAGGTGGAAAACCAAAAAAAAAAATCATCGTCAAACGCCTCCTAAAACACAACTGTCAACTAGAGAACTGTAACAATTAACTCAACAACCATTCATCACATTTCAGCTCCTCCTTCTGGATCACACATCAAATTTAGTCTTTACATTTTATTCTATAAAATAACAAATTCACTTTTGAGAAGTTTATACAACATATAACAACACCATCAGAAACTATAAATACACACAAACATTCATCTATGAAGACCTATTTAGGCTAGGAAACCTGTAGGAAGCATACGAAAGTGCACCAAGATCCCAGCTGTGGTGAATAAGTTCTCCGTTAACGCCTTCACCAGCAGCACCTAGCGCTACATGTAACGGATAGATGTGCTCGGGCCATGGGTGTGCAACTTTTGCATGCGGCGCCTTCATGTCATAGTTATTGACATCTTGATGCCTACACAGAAATAGCTACTACATCAGCTGAAACTCTCAAAGTTACTTGTATACTAATTACAATGCCTACATGGACAGATGTAAGCTTGAATACTGAGGTTCGGAAAAACCTAGTAGCTTTGACTCAAACCCTGTATATGTGTTAAAAAAAACACTAAATATGTATTAAAAGAGAAAAACGAAAATTGTATTATAGTACATTTCATTTAACAATGTAGAGCAAGACTGTTTCTAGTTATCATTATGACATTATCGTATTTCTGAAGTATAATGAATATGCATAACAGAGTATATTACTCAAAAATAACATATAATTTAACGCAATAATGAATAAAATCACTCCGGTATAAGCAGGAGAATAGGAAACTTCTTATTTACTTGAGAATCCTTATGCTTGCAACCATGAACTTGTACTATTAGTACAGTACTAACGAAATTTAAAAAGGCAAGAATCATGGAACACAAAGAAAAGGACAAAGATGAGCAAAGAAAGCAGGAAGAATAACTAAAGCATATCTCCGTAAGCTTTACAATGGATAAATAAAACCTGATTATTTCTGTTGGGCATTCCAAAGATGATTTTAGAGTAACATTCACATTCTACATTAGGTAGGGTTAAGGTCAAGCCTCGTGAGAGGTAGGTTATCATTGTTGTATTCACATTCTACATCATTCAAGTACATATAGAAATACACTATCGTTTTAACTGACCTTTGCAGTGCTTCTTTAAACGTAGTACTTTTATCGAACTATGACAGACTTGAATTAAATGAGCTTTTGAAAACCTTGGTTTTCGATTCACCAAATAATCAGACACAAAAAGTGGATAATAAGAATGTACCTTCCGCTGAGAAGGGCGTCCTTAAGCCAGTTATCAAACTCTAGAGCCCACGAAGAAACATTCTTGGATGGACCGAGAGCCCTTAAGTTGTGAGTGGCAGATCCAGAACCAATAATGAGGACACCTTCATCCTTGAGGGAAGCCAATGCTTTTCCCAAGTTGTAATGATAAGTACCATCCCTATTGGGTTGAACCGAAAGTTGGCAGACTGGAATGTCTGCTTCTGGATACATGAGCATGAGAGGGACCCATGCACCATGATCCAGACCACGATTTTTGTCCTCGTGCACTATCGGGAACCCAGACGCCATGAGAACGTCCTTCACCCTTTTTGCCAATTCTGGAGATCCTGGTGCAGGGTACTTGAGCTGAAGATCGAAAATGAGAGAAATTGCATAAGGAATTGGTAAGCTTTTATCTCACAACCAGATTATATGGAGTTAGCGTGTTTCATGCTTATCACACAATTACAAGAAAAGCAGGGAACTTTTTAAAAGGGATGCAAGTCCTAGTTATGTACTTCAAAAAAATAAACATATCCCGCTTGCACGATTACAAAAATAATGCAACAAACTAATCGATCTCACACTCTATCACAGTTTTGTAGCAAGTACACCCAAAAAGTTGCTTCATTTTATTTCTTAACTGTTAAGGTTAAAGGAAAGAAGAATCTGTAAACTCAACCACAAACTGGTCGTAATGAATATAAAAGAACGTAGGATCTCAAAACTCTAACTATAGAAACTTACTTCGACATATACAGAGATGTCACAAAACCATCCAGCTCCACTAACCAACGAAACTTAATCAAGACACAAGGAAGCAAGGCACGAGACAGGTAAATCAAAGATGATTTCAGCTACAATCAATCTGTTAGGTAATCCTTTTTAACCCCTACATCTTAGAGACAGAAGCGGAGCTAAGTGGGGGTCCGAACCCACTAACTTTTCTGTAGACTTTGTATTTGCATTAGAAAATTAAATAAATATATACGTATATTAACTTATGAATCCCCTAACAATTGATTGACAACTTAGTGATAAGGAAAGGGGCGGTGGAAATGCCTTTCACACTAGTGTTTATCAATCTTTTATCCTAAAATTTAGAACCCCAAACTCCTAATTCTGACTCTGCCTCTGCTTAGAGAGGTATATAGGGATCTAGAGATAACTCAGATGTTATAAATCATGATCATATTCTCCGATACTACGGATTAAAATAAAAAAATCACCATATTCTCCAATTCTTGGAAATGTGGTGTCTCATACTATCATTTCATTTTTGTCATTTTACTGTACAGATACTGGGACAGAGCCAAGGGCAGGACCACAGTTATTGTTACAATTTACAAGTTTTACAAAACCCAATAACTTCGGCTCAAATCTTATTCTTTTATTTCTAAAACACCTATTCAAAACCCACACAAAAAAAAATTGCAGTTCATAAACCATAACCTAAATTTTTTGACTTCACCTCTAAAAATAGCTCTGATTTAGTAAACTCAACATTCATCAATTAATAACAGGTAAAACAACGCAATCACATCAAGCCAATCAACTGAGCTACTAATAATAATGATAAAAAAAAGGGAAAAAGGATAAATATACCCAAACTATCGTAAATAGTGTGCAGCTACCATCCTTCATACTTTTGGAATATTGATGCCCTGCCGTTCAAAAACTAGACACAAATATCCAAAAGTATGACTGAATCTGCATATCATTTACGATAGTTTGGGTATAATCCGAAGTATGTACAATTATCATCTAAAAATTATGAACAAAAAACACGAACCTGATACATGGATTTGGGGAATCCATAGAAATCATGAATAGTGTCCTGTCGTCCCCGAATAGAATTAACAGTTGGTTCTGAAGTCTCCCAATGAGCAGAAATCACCAAAATTGAATTAGGTTTTTGATTAATCATAAATCTTTCTTTGAAACTTTTCAAAAAAGTCCTTGCAGGCAAAGATTCATCAATGGAAAGTGTAGGAGATCCATGTGATATGAAAAAAGTCTCCTTCACAGGCAAAACTGCTGGGCAAGACATTTTCAAAACTCCAATTTCTTCAATTTCTATATTCAATTTTGAATCCAAATCCTCTGGGCTATTTATTGGATATGATGTTTTACAAATTCCCATTTTTTTTTCTCTATTTTATTTTATTTTTGCTTTTTTTACGCGTTCACCAACCAAGTTTTTTTTTTTTTTTTTTTTTATAATTATTATTATTATTTTCAACCACCAACTTTATTAAGTAGTAGTTGCCATTTCAATTTTTCTATATTGGAATCTAGAAACGTAATATGGTCGACTTCACATTGATTTACTTTTCTTCGGTTCAATTTATTTAGCCTATTTTGATCTAGTACGAAATTTTAAGAATATCTAAATATAATCAATTTTATGATCGTAACTCGTAAATTAGATATACGACAAATATATCGTTAATTTTGTGATGTTACATATATCATGTGAAAAGTTGAAAATTAAAAAATTATAAAAATGATTCAAACGGATTAAAAAAATAGGTTGAATAAATTGAAATGAAGGAAATATTTATTAAGCACAACTTATATTTACTGTATTTTTGTTCTCATATTTAATTATTTTTGTGCAAAATATTAAATCAGTGAAAGTATTTTATTTTTTTGGTTGTGGTAATTTCAATTTTCTTGAGCGTTTTAATGCCTAAAAATATTAACTTAGTATTAATATATATTATTTGAAAATGATGTAAAAAATAATAGAAATTATAATAATTAACGGTTATCGCGTAATTTTTTTTTTTTTTTTGAGAACCGACCAAGTAGTAGTCGACATTTCAATTTTTTCTGCTATAGAATATTGGAATATGGAAACGTGGTATATATATATACTAATATTTTATATTATGTAAACTCTAATTCAACAAAAAGATTTATAAAATCCTAACAGAAATAATAT